ATTTTATTCAGTCTCTTTATAACACATAAGTTTAGCCCGGTGAAGTTCTTACATATATTCTTTGAACTTTTGAGAAATTTTCACATCAATTGAACTGTTTTCCATTCAGTATAAGTAACTAATATACAATTGCAGCTTGGTTTTTAAATGATTGTCAGTATGGGTAGTGTAGTATGTGCGTGTAAAGAAGATCAATACCAACATTCACATCCCACACTTACATTCCCACAAACACGCACACCCACACCCCATATTGCTTCACGTAGAACTTGAATAACACTAGGTACCTGTACCTAGTCTACAGCTGATAATCATCATCGTGTGCATGTAATTCTGAGTCAAATCGGAACTATTATGCATCTGTTATTATATGGAAATATTAGGTCGGGCTTCCACAAATAGATAGATATTGACTGTCATCATCATTTTCATTTGAATTGGAAAAAATATCGGCCTCATATTTAATCTTACAATAAAAAAATTCAACCTCATAAGAAATTTTTTTTGTAGTAGCAAAGTAATAAATTGAAGTTTTACTATTGACGAAACACACCAAGTAATAAAATCATTAGAGCAGATGTAGACATTTACCGATGGAAACACAAAAGTTTTTATCATTACATCATGACTTTTGAATGCCAGTATCTGTGTAAGAAAAATAAAATTTTTTGCTAGTTCTACCAAAAAACCACGTCATATAATTGTTTCATGTGTGTTCAATTTGTACTGATGGGCAACATCACCACTGTTTCTTCTATCGATTGATTGACATGAGACTAGCCAGTAACACTATTAGATTAAATCTTTTAACTTAATAAGCGATAGCAACTCTACTGATTCGATGCTGCAGTTATGTCTTTCTGTTCGATCTTATGGGGTTCCAGAATTTCGCCAATAAGACTTTCACCAATAGGACTTTCGCCATTGGAGAAAGCCCACTGTACTTTCGCCATATACATACCGTGGAATTTCGTCAATTGGCGAAAGTCCACAGTACTTTCGCCAATACGTTCGGTGGAGTTTCGCCAATATATTTCTGGACTGTCGCCAATTGGCGAAAGTACAGTGAGCTTTCAGCAATTTCATGGTAAATTAGACGTACACTAAAAAAATTTTTTTCACCTACATCGATGAGTGTAAACTATGATATATGGGGTTGGCCAGTCTGGCCGGATGTCCCAATCACGTTTTTAATCAATCCGTCTCTATAATACGTCAGAAATATCTGATTTTTTTGCTAGTTATAGTACTCATATAATGCTGATGATCCGCCAAAGAGAAACAATTTATCTCTTGTTTGAAAGGAAATCGATAAAGCATCTTTCAAAGCCTTTTGATATTTACCAACAGATAATTCTAAAGACACTTAATGATTGTGATTTGAACCAAGACATAAACTTCCTAGCCTTGGCAGATCATTAGCATTATGCAAGTACTATTACTATTATAAAAATTAGATTTTTCTGGTATATTACAGAAACTGAATGATGGAAAAAGGCATAGGGATATCCGGCCAGACTGGCCAACCCCATATATATTCTAATAACATTAACTTCAGCGCTGACACATATCCTTTATTAATATTGTTCCGTGACCACTGAGATAGTCCACCTCACTTTCACCAATTGACGAAAGTCCACTGTACTTTCGCCAATACATTGTCTGGAACTTAGCCAATTGGCGAAAGTCTACTGTACTTTCGCCAATATACCTTCAGGACTTTCGCCATTGACGAAAGTGTTATTGGCGAACATCCCGCCACCCGATCTAATTAGTTCCTCCACTACACAGTTGCAAACAGACCAATCTTTTTCGGCCTGGTTCGACCTGCAGGCACATGCAAAACAAAAAGCTGCAATTGACTTTCCTAGGATATATATATTCATCATTTTTCATAATTTGTACTACTATTTAAGATTAATATGATTCTTTATTTCTTCTTTTTTTCATAATAATAATAATAGAAAAAAAGTTTCCATAAAGTAGAAAATGAAAAAAAAACCTTAATTAGCACCAAGAGTATTTCACAACAAAAAATAATCACTATTACGAAATTTCTGAAATAGAAGATGATGATGAAGTATTTGTGGTTATTGGAATAGAAAATGGATGAGAAAGTGGAAGACAATGATGAATCGTTTTTATCGTGTTCCGAACTTAGATAGACAAGATATTTCTCCATACTAAAAAAATTTGAAAGAATCAAGTCAATTCATTGTTGCTTTGTATTTAATTCGTGTTATTTTCGTCTTAGAAGAAGTCAAACTTCATTTATTAATGCTCTTTTTTTTCTGTTTCATCTATTGTTCTCTCGCTTTTGAGTCTCGTTAGAGTAATTTCAAATGAATCAAGTACTTTTAAAATGTGTCAAAATATAACTTAATTCATGATGACATCCACCTTTCGAAATAAAGTAAAAAAAAATAATTTCAAGTATATTTTAGTCAGGCGAAACATTTTAGCCTGGCCTGGTAGCCTGTCAGACGCTTGCAGGCCAACAGGTCAGACCGACAGCTCTATCCCACAGTTTCTAAGCCAGTGTTGTGCATGAAGCAGTCAGGGTATGGGTGGATGTGTGAGTGGTGGTATGTGGGTGTAGAAAAGATCAATACCGATATCCACACCCGTAAACAACTAGTATTTGATCATTTATAGGTCGTATATGGGCACTGTAACAAAACATCTGAGTACTATAAGTCGTCAACTAAAAGTAGTACGGAGTAAACTGACCCCTCAAGATTAAAATGTAATTAAATATTTATTTATAATTACAAAAGAACTAAAATATGTGCCAACAGTAACAGTAGTGGATGTACAATATATAAAATATATAGAAAACAATTTTATACAATCTTATAATTCAAAACGTTAAACCAAACAATAGTTGTTATTTTCCACCTATGTCGACCTATTTCTTTATCGTATATTCGAAAATTTAATTTTAAGAGAGGATCCATCAGACTACTGACCAAGCATGCACACGAAAAAATTTGATTTTAAAATAAGTTATACCATTCGAAGGCCCGTGAAAAGTTATACTCAAACCCAAATTTTTAGCTGTTTCTGAAAATCCTATCAAGAGATATAGAACGATCTTTGAATCCATCCTCAGATACTATTTTACAAATTTTTGAAAATTTTGATGAGTTTTAGAAAATTCTATTTAACACTTTATGACAACACATATTACCATTAAATATCCCTCTTTCTCAGTATTAATTAACGTATCTTGATTGCATCTGTTAAATGCATCATGATAGAACAAGATTCTCAACTATAAATTATGTCTAAAGACTCTCTAATGTGTTATTGTTTAACTAAAAAATGGACAAAAATGATCATTTTTTATGAATTTTTTAAAATTTTTGCTCTGAAAGTATATCAGAGCAAGTCCTCCCAAAAATCTCTTAGCAATCGGGAAAAGCACGTCAAAAACTGCATCTTTCTATATATAACTCAGCAAGATAAAATTTGAGGAGGTTAGTTAATTTTTGAGTGCAAAGAAGATCACTGCCATGCGCAACAGATGGAAAATAACAACTATTGTTTGGTTTAACTTTTTGAATTGTAAGATTGTGTAAAATTGATTTGTATATATTGTACATTCACTACTGTTACTGTTGGCATATATTTTAGTTCTTTTGTAATTATAAATAAATATTTAATTACATTTTAATCTTGAGGGATCAGTTCTTTTTGCACTCTGTACTATGGGACATACAAAGAAAAGCGATACAAAGAGACAAAAGAAACGATAATAAAAATGAAGAACCTTGTTATCGTCATTAATTATAAATTGAGTTTAGTAACATCGAATGAGAATTTTAAAAAGCACTATATGAATAATCGTTACATGTAAACAAACTTAACGGAGTTCTTTCCTCTATATAAATACTGTTCGGAATTTTTCCAACTTGTTTATGAATTTTTTTTACAGAGATAAATTAGTTTTATTCATTTGTGCTCGTTGTGTTTGTTATGCAACTAGTTTTTTTCTTTCCCAATATCATAATAGGTTCTGCGATACTATGGTGAGATGCTTATATGAAGAACAACCGTTTTTAAGCAAAATATTTTTGAGTATGATATTACGACATGTTTTTTTTAAAACTCTAACAGAATATATATTATCAAAAGACGTGTTCACTCAATGTACGAGTTCAAATATTCACTTACCTTGTTTGTGACGTACCTCAATTTCTTCTCAAAAAAAAAATAATCATTATAAATACTGCATGCTAAAGTATATGTGAAAAAGTCTTTGTTCTCAGTGAAAGAACACTATAAAAATATCCGAACAATCCTATAGAAAATGTTGATTCAACAGAAAAACGCGTTCTCTCAGGAATACTGTTAAAAACAAGATTTTTAGAAGGCGTTTCAATTTAAAATAGAGATTTTTTTCTAAATGTTAGCTTTGAAACACTGCTTTCTACAATTTTTTTTTCATCGATGGTCAAGTTCTTTTTCTGCATATACAAGATTCAACAAAACCCGAAATATAAATATCATAAATGTGATCAGTGCACAAAGCTCCGTATAAATAATAATCTATTGAGAGTATATTAGGAAAAAAATCTTTTTCCTTCAAAACTTGAGCGGAACTAAAGATGCAAAGAACCTCACTATTGAATAGCAGAAAACTAAAGCGTGCAAAGAAATCTTCTAGTGATATTTCTCTCCATCCAGATAGATAAAAAAAATAGATTCTAGACCAAAAAAGTCGACCTTGTATCAACATATCCGTTATGAATGAATACCATTTATAGAAATTCTCTCATGCAATGTCTGTTGTTTTTCTAAGCAAAAGAATGGATGACTAATACCATCTATTTTATCTATTATCAACTGGTCGGAAAGCCAATATGTTGAGGAGTAACATAAACATTTTTTTCCTCTTTCCTTTTTCTTTTATCTGCAATTTACATTCATCAATCTTTCTCAATTCCGCTTAAAAATGAAATATTTCTCTATTTTCAACACGACAAACAAGATTTATCATGTCATCTTCTTCACATAAAACAGATTCAATTATTTCGAAAACGATTCGCTCTTCGCCTATACCAGATCGTGATTTTTATATTGATGATTATTTCACAGATGAAGATAAAATAGGAGATAGAACATGTTTCATTGCTCTTCGCACTACATCTCGTCATATTCCATCTACATCTGATAAAGAAAATCAGAATCTACAAGCTCTTCGACATGTTATACCAATAGTATTTATTTATGATCGATATATAGTTGAAGAAAAATACTATGAATCCATTGACAATATTCCAATAATAAAGAATAACGAATGTTTATGGATTGACATCACTGGTGTAAGTTTTTATTCTTATTATATAATCGAAATATTTATATATATTTATATATAGGTGCATGATAAAGCTGTGCTAGCGAGTATCAGTCAACGATTCAAGATTCATCCATTAGTTATACTTGACATCGAAACCAATGAACAACGTACAAAGTTAGATGTTTTTGAAGATGCTTTATTTCTTGTTGTTAAACTAATTTATCCAGATCATATTACACAGAAAATACACATTGAACAAATTAGTTTCTATTTAAAAGACAATATTCTAATTACATTTCAAGAAAAATCTAATGATCTTTTTGATCGCATTAAAAGTAAGTAAAACATGCACCGTTTGTTCTATGATATACATTATGTATATAGATCGAATTCGTCAAAATAAAGGGCGTATTCGAAGTTCAAAAATCGATTATCTATTTTATTCATTGATGGATATTATTGTTGATAAATATATGGATGTACTTAATATAGCTAATACAAAAGTCGAAGCAATTGATCATCAACTAATGAAAACTTTATCACGTGATACACTTGAAACAATTTATGATCTTAAACGTGATATACTTCAAACAATTTATGATCTTAAACGTGATATGCTTGATTATTGTCGTTTAATATCACCATTGAAAGAAATAATAAATCGACTACAAAAAGAAGAAGAAACACAAATTATACAAGAAAGTACAATAATATATTTAAAAGACTTATTAGATCACATTGTACAAGTTACTGATACAATTGATACATATCGTGAAATGCTTACTTCATTTATTGAGTTTTATATGATGTTAAATTCTAATGCTATGAATGAAGTTGTTAAAGCATTGACTATTATTTCAACAATATTTATTCCTTTAACATTTATTGTTGGTTTATATGGTATGAATTTTGATAATATGCCTGAAATACATTGGAAATATGGATATTTTGTTGTACTTAGTGTTATGGTTATATTAACATTTATTATGTTATCTTGTTTTAAAAGAAAAAAATGGCTATGATATGCAAAACAAATTTCACTTATTCAGAAACTCCTTTTCTCTTAGTAAACATAGTTCCATGTATGAATTCATATTTTATCAATAATTACAAAAATAGAATTTTTCTTCGAAATTTCTCGAATATTCAAATATATAAATAGTCTACCCCAAGTTCGCACATATATGTGTCATATAATTTGAATCAATCTTTTTTTTTCAGTTTATCTATTGACTGATGAGACATTTAGACAACATGAGTTTATTCGAAAGTATATATTATATATATCTTGATTTGTTCTTCAATTTTTGGATATGATGTTTACAAACAGAAAGTGCTTAGGAAACTAGTTTGTTAAACAGCATATTAACACAAGAAATCATCCAAAATATGAAAATATTTCTTTTCATAGAATAAGTTTTGAAGTATTAATTGAAATTGAAAACAATGAATAATTCTTGAAAAATTATAGCTGTAAAATGCAATAGAAAGGAAGCAAGTACTGAAATATCTCTCTGAATAACTTGAGAAAATTCCAATGTATGGATATGCATGATATTATATATGATTAAATGATGATTTTGAATGTATAATAGTCGATTAAAATACATTGTTTTTGTTACTCATTTAAAGTGTAATATTACAATATTGGTCAAAAATTATGAGAACACCACCGTTTTTTCCTTATTTCGTGAAGAAGAAGGATATAGTTTTGACTTCAAAGTTTTACAGATAAACTAAAATACTGTGTTTGAACGTTTTTAGAATAAAAATTTTCAGATTGATTTGTGTTTGAGTTTTGAATTACATATCGTTACTCTAATCAAATTCGATAAACACAGCTTGAAAGTGCTGGTCTAGTTTAGTTTTTTGACTATTAAGAGTAAAATATAGATGAGATTGTTCTTTTCATAAAAAAATGCAACAATGGCAAATTCTAAGAACCACTTTATTAAAATCAGAATGGTATATTAATAACCAATGACTATTGATAATATCACAATCTGCTTACGATTATCGCTCTTGACTTTTTAAAATTTTTACAATGTAGTATACTCTTTGTAACAACATGGTTCTTAGAAACTGGAAATTGTACATTTATGTCTATATTATTATTGAATTAAAACTGTATCTCTTTCTTGTTTACAGAAAATAGAAAAAACTATTGTATTCTGATAACATTAACTATTACTGTAAGTGTAAGTATTATAGTACCATGAATTAAAGTCAACAGAAGTCTAAACTTTACTCGATCATACCAATGATAAGGAAATCAACTCTTTTTATCTATTGGACTAGCAAACCACACCTTCTTTAATTTGCTCATCTCTCTATATTCAATAAAAATAGGATATTCATTAAGTACGGTATTTAAACAAATACATTACAACCATGTGACACAAGTTAACTTAGATTGATTACAGATACAATAAAATTGTGTTCAGCTAATGAATAACATACAATGTGTGCATAAAGAATGTATTTCTTAGAGTTTCTCAAAATCATCTCAAATAAAAATCTTCTGATTAGGACTTAGTGACAGGACATACTGTGAAACCTAGGAAAGCAAAGAATATTGATCAAATGAGAAAAACAATAATCTTCGAAAAACAAAATATCAATAACTTTCTGAATTTTGATGCTCAAGATTCTTTCAATATTATTATTTCGTAGTTATTAAATAAAGATATTACGGCAAATATTAAAATGAAGTTTTGTACGAAGATATGCAACATGAAAAATATAAATGATTTTCTATAATAAATTCATTGCTGCCCATCAAGATAGAACACGTTGCCGTAGGATCGGTTATTTGCCCACAATATGAATCTCATCGGTCTAAAAAGTGCCAGGAGGTCAACAAAAGAGACTTAAGTGCAACCAATTCTTTTTGAGAATTTTTGTTTTCTTTTTATTATTTCAAAAAAAAGTCTAGTGACGTTTCGTCAACCATGTAAACTTCATCAGACTATTTAGCTATATAACAAAATGTAAGATAAAAAATAGCAAGAGCATTTTAAACACACACATGTATTTTATCTATTCTATTGATAGTGAAACGAACGAACAAAAACTCAAAAGATAAAGCTTCATTCAGTATTATCTTGTTGTTTGTTCCAGTATCAATAAAATACGTGTGTGTATGTGCTTTAAACGTACTTGCTCTTTTTTTTAATTTTACATGCCACTTTAGATCTAAATAGCCTGATGAAGTCAACATCGTTTACGAAACGTAACTAAAATGAAAGTTTTTGAAATTATAAGAAGAGAAAATGAAAATAAAAATATTCAATTGACAATAACCTTCCTTACAAGTAGAGATTTCGAAACAGTTTAATTTTCGGTCATTCAAATAGTGACGTTATGGCCATTGTGGTACCTTGCAGGTATTAATTTACACAGGAAAAATTGATTTGAAATTCAATTCGAATTACGTATTCCAGTTCGTTGTAAAAAAGAAGCTGCTTTCAGCTTTCTATTTCACATCATTTTAGCGATGCATTTCTTCTCGTTTGTAAGATTCACCCAAAATTCTCTACGAGTAGACGTTAAGATTCGAAAGCCTACATATTTATGCCAAAGTGAACTGTAAGCTTTCAAAAAAGTAAGAAAAATGATATAAGATGAATTTTTTTGATTGAGAAAAATAGTTGACTGAAATAGTATCAAATACATCGAGTTGTAACTTTTTGATGCTGAATCTGAATATGCAATTCAAATTGAACTTTGAAGCAATGCTCATGTATATACTGAGCAAGTTAAAGTATAAAGATTGTCTTTTTTTAAAGATTTTTACTCCAAATAGATCTAACCATACATATGGATGTTTGATAATGTACCATTTTGCAATATTTCTATAAAGCACAATAGGACGAGTGATCGTTTTGTTATGAAATATTTCGAATATTAACAGCATTTCGATTGTTTTTCAAACTAAACCATCTTAAAACAAATAAGAATGACTATTTTTGTCAATTGCAATATATTTCAAATAAAAGAATATAGCCTTGTCGGATAAAAGATAGGCTGGTATATATGAGAATTGTCATAAGACCAATTTACTGTTAAAATGTTTTTTTCATATGAAAAATTTCGTCGAATCGAAACACAAATATTCCAATTGTAATCAGCACACACTACTGTATATAAAGGCTATGCTTTTCAGGATATTTTAGAAAAATTCTTTTCGAATCCCGAAGACTACTGCCGTAGGCAAAACGTCACTATGAAATACCAGAAAACTAAGTTACATCAAGGTCCTCTTTTAGTGATCTGTTGACATCTTCTTGATAAACAGAAGTGAAATCGTCGGCAAAAAACTGCCTTAAGTCAGCATACTTGTTAAGAATGAAAACCATCTGTATACAGTCTCTCATGCAAAATCCGTTGTGTTTTTTAAGCAAAAGAATATCTGACTAATATCGTCTGTTTTATCTATTATCAACTGGTTGAAAAACGAATAACTAAAAAAAGTGAGATAATGTGTAATTGTCTTTTTTTTTGTCTACAATTCTTATTCATGATGCTCTCTTAATTTTATTTAAAAATAATATATATTGTCATTTTTAGTACAACAAAACAACGATTATCATGTCATTTTCATCACATGTAACGGACTCCACTACTTTGACGGAAACTCGCACTGCACCATCAATGGACAATGAAATATATATTACGGATTTTTTAACAGATGAAGACAGAATACGAGATAGAACATGTTCAATCGTTCGTCGCAGTACATTTCGTCATCCTCCATCAGCATTTGATACACTAAGTCATGAATTACAAATAATTAGACATGTTAGACCAAGAGCATTTATTTATGATCATGATGCAGCTGAGGAAAACTATTATAACTCTATTGACAATATTCCAATAATAAAGAATAACGAATGTTTATGGATTGACATCACTGGTGTAAGTTTTTATTCTTATTATATAATCGAAATATTTATATATATTTATATATAGGTGCATGATAAAGCTGTGCTAGCGAGTATCAGTCAACGATTCAAGATTCATCCATTAGTTATACTTGACATCGAAACCAATGAACAACGTACAAAGTTAGATGTTTTTGAAGATGCTTTATTTCTTGTTGTTAAACTAATTTATCCAGATCATATTACACAGAAAATACACATTGAACAAATTAGTTTCTATTTAAAAGACAATATTCTAATTACATTTCAAGAAAAATCTAATAATATTTTTGATCGTATTAGAAGTAAGTAAAACATTTATATGTACTTTATAATACAATTTTTCGGATATAGATCGAATTCGTCATAACAAAGGTCGTGTTCGAAGATCGAAAATTGATTATCTATTTTATTCATTGATGGATACTATTGTTGATAAATATATGGATGTACTTAATATAGCTAATACAAAAGTCGAAGCAATTGATCATCAACTAATGCAAACTTTATCACGTGATACACTTGAAACAATTTATGATCTTAAACGTGATATGCTTGATTATCGTCGTTTAATATCGCCATTGAAAGAAATAATAAATCGACTACAAAAAGAAGAAGAAACACAAATTATACAAGAAAGTACAATAATATATTTAAAAGACTTATTTGATCACATTGTACAAGTTACTGATACAATTGATACATATCGTGAAATGCTTGCTTCATTTATTGATTTTTATATGATGTTAAATTCTAATGCTATGAATGAGGTTGTTAAAACATTGACTATTATCTCGACAATATTCATTCCTTTAACATTTATTGTTGGCATATATGGTATGAATTTTGAAAATATGCCTGAATTACGTTGGAAGTATAGTTATTATATTGTACTTAGTGTTATGGTTTTATTAACGCTTATTATGTTAACTTGGTTTAAACGAAAAAAATGGTTTTAATTCAACTTAGCAGACATTTTGTTTTATGTGTAGCGCATTTCGAAGACTTTTTTGTATACATCTGACAGCTAAGTGAATAAAATTTTTTTTTTTACTAAAATGTGTTATGGCTCATAAAAAAGCATTACGAAAACGATATATGCATAGAAAAATTTTGATTTTTTACTATATGTAATGAAAATTTATTGGAACTCATTGCTTAAATTATTGACTTAGCATGTGACGATTGCTATGCATCTATTCGACTTAATCAAAAAAGAATAAGATAGATTCGAATTTTTACTTAGTTTGGTATACAGCCATTGGAATACTCAAAACATTTAGGTAAGCACATAGTGTGTAGTTTCTTTATCGAGATCTAATTAAAATAAAATCTACTTTAGCATGTTTTTAAAAAACAATGAATAAAAGTTCATAGATCAGTAGTAGCATATCAAACATCTTCAGAATTCTATCACAATAAAGATATCAATACAATCGTGGTCTCATCTTTCATAAACATCATAGACAACCATCTGGAGTAGGAATCGTTAATTGTTTTCTAACAGAAAATCGCCCGGACATTCTTTTTTCTGAAGTTAAAGTGACCCTAACTTCTTCTTGCTATCATTTAGAGAAAACTCAATTATAAAACATCAATTTAACAATCATTAGTTCAGTATTCATAACTTTGCAAACGTTGCTTGCGAGAATAGTACTAGCAACTACTATGTTAAAATGTTGAACACACAACAACTATGAGAAACTATTTTGAAACGATTATTGAGAAAATTTTGGAATCTTGCTTGTATTTTTAAACTTATTCTTGAAAAAATAAAAAAAGTATCAAATGTTTTCTATAACATATTTATTTGTCATCTAGTGTTTTCAAATTATAAAAAATAAAGGTCTAAAACTAAATGGAAGGATACAATACAAAACACACACATGACATATAGGGATATTCAGGAGTATTTTTTTTTGAACGATATTATAAAGACCAAATGAGAATAACACTTAAAGAAAACATACACAACAGTTAGATATATGATTTGGGTCATCAATTTTAATGTAATCATAGAAAAGCGTTTTAGCTTTCTTTTCTTCAAGTTTGTCTCCTTGAGCAATTAATGTAAATGATTTATCGGCTGTATCTTTATCAACACCAAAAAATTCACATGTTTTAACCCATTCATCTCGTGCTATATGACCATCATGATTAAGATCAAGCATATTAAATGTTGTATTGACTCGTCGAGTTAATTGCTCTAATAATTCAGGATGTGTACCTGGTTTACGTAACTCCTCGGCAATTCGTCGATGAAATTGGAGCCATTCCTCTGTTAATACAATATATGAAAAAAATAAATGTCTTGTACTGTCTGCTATCTATTGAGTTAAAAAAGAAAAAATTTACCTAGTGTTACTTTTCCATCTTGATTTGCATCAGCTCGCATTATTTCTTGACAAAGAAGTTTTCGAGCAGTTGCATAATCTTCACGTCGTTTTTTATCACCTTGTCCAACCAGTGATGAAAGTTTATCAGCTAAAATTTCAAAATCAACTGGTGTTATTGTACCATCTCGATCAATATCTTAAATATAAGAAAAAAGATATATATTGTCGATTTCTAATTGAAATATTTGTTTGATTACCATAAAGATGAAAAAGACGTTTCATTTTTTCATTCCAAAATTCGCTTGCTGCAGTAGTCTTAATAAAAATTAATAATGTTAATCTATAGATATTATTATTCGTCTTACCATTGTATTTGCGATAGTAGAAAAAAGAAACTAGACTAGAAGAAACCAGGCTAACAAAAAGAGTTGGATGTGCTTTATTTATAGTCGGCAAGCAACTGTGAAAAAATAAAGGTCCTATTGTTCTTCTATCATTAATTGTTGTTGTTTTTGTTGTTCTATCGGTCGGAACGATTGAAGAATTATTCATTCAATGAGTTAATAAAAAAAAGAAAGTTTGTGTCTTTTATACGTTAGTTATGATATTATAGATTCATTGAATACTAATATATAGATTTATGATATTTTACTAAAATTAATTGAGAAGTAGTTTGTTTTTTATGAATTAATTGATGAAAGTTAGATTTATTATATCTTAATAATAACGAATAATTAAGAAAGGAAACAAAAATATTTTATTTTCTTTTTCTCTCCCATCTGGAATAATAAACATTTGTATGCTTCGAAAGCTTACAGATGACCTTTATGATAAGGTAATCAAAAGATAATCTGCAAAACTAATTTTCTTAATAGATTGGCTCTTCTTTGGATCATTTCACAAAAACATCTTTTTGAGATATTTATTGGTACTTATTGAAAAAAACATCATTCTTTAAGATGTATTAATCATTTGTCCTTGTATTATAATAAAATTTCCACTATGATAGTAGGCTAAATGAATTAAATATTTGTTTTATAATACGATACTATTCAATGTCATGAAATACTTTAAGGAATCTATGCACTTTATTGAATCAAACATTAAAACATACTTTTATGATAGTTGTTAAGCAGCAATATTTTAAAACCTTAATACTTGTATATAAAGGTGTGGACATATCTTTTCTCTGAAACAACAACCACACTGCATTTAAACAAAAAGAAGTGGCCATATTGAATAGAATTATGACGATTCTAGGTTAATATAAAGAATTTTCTCGTTTTTTATTGTACACATTCACATTATCAAGGTTTCATAGATATCATATAGTTTATTCTATATCCATGTTTGGACTTTTTTCAGCAAAAAAATTTGTCTATTTTATCGCGATCATCACGAGAAAATACGAGTACGACACATTCACAAATATGTTTTGTAACTACTAGATAATCTGATAGGATGGGATAAGTAATTTCAAGAAATAAAACAATAAATTTTACTCTTTATTTAACAATAGAATTTTCTATGCGAAATATTTATTTTCAATCTGACAAAATACAATTGAAAACTTTGCAAATAAATTTTAGTAATGCTCCGTTCAGTTAAATCATAAAAATTAATTCAAGAATATTGTGTTCAAGTCTATGTAACTTGTATATAATTGAAAAGCATAAGTTATATTGTCATACCTTAATGAATGATTTTTTGAAAAAATACACTAAAGAAATATTATATTATACTGCTTATCGTCACTTCCATGAAAATTTTTCTAGAAATAAATCTTCTATACATGATTAACACTGAGCCATAAAATAATCGATAGATTCATGTAAATATCAAAAACATATTTAAAAGAACTAATTTGAAGTGCATTCTGTCATTATCTTCACATGATAGAGTTAAATAACAGCTTCTTTTAACACTTATAACTATTTTGATATAAGTCAAACAAAACACGCATTCATTGATCATGTTATTATTGTTTTTTTTTTCTGTAGAATCTACGATACGAACGACATTTATTAGTTACAATGAAAAATATAATATTTTTATTTATTACTATTTCTTTTCTTTGAAACCAATATAAAAAAAGAAGACATCGATTATACTTCATATGTTGATGAATTAAGTGTTTTGCTTCTACTGATCTACCAAAGATATCAATGACAGATCAAATTAACTAGAGAATGATGTTGTATATTTGTTTTAAGACACTCAACAGTTTTTTAAATGTTGCGGATTTCTCTTTTAATGTTGTTCATCAATATTAACTTGAAGATTGTTGCATATATCAAACCAAATAAGCGCAATAAAAAAAATAAATAGATATCTAAAACATTGTTAAATTTACTAAGAAAATCAATAAGATATCTAATAGCTGCCCAGTGAAAAAATGTTAGATTACAGAAGATTTTAGTAGATTATAATCGGATTTTTCTCTAACAAAATCAAAATTATAATCGATTGAAATCTTCGAAATCAACAATAATTTGATTTTTAATCAAACAACAATAATCTTATAAATTCAGTATAATTTGCATTAAAATCGTATCAAATCAAGATTATGTGATTTTAATCAAAACTACACAATTTTAATCCAAATTATACTGGACTTATAAGATTATTGTTTGATTAAAAATCAAATTGTTGTCGATTTTGAAGATTTCAATCGATTATAATTTTGATTTTGTTGTAAACAAATCCGATTATAATCTACTGAAATCTTCCATATTCTGATATTTTTCCACTGGGTGCTATCAAAAATTGAATTTCATCACAACTCTACCCATCATCTAGAATAATTCAATAAATGTCATTAGTTTCACAATTATGATTGTTTTTATTTTGTAACAATCGTATTTTGCCGATAACATAATGTGATATTATGTATCTTCATTTTCTCTCTAGTATATCACTTAATCGTATCTGATGAAAACAAAAATATTCCGGTTTTGTTAATTTTATCTATCACAGAAATCACAAGACGTTTTTTCTTCACCTTGCCTCTATAGTCTGTAGAACATTATCATTCAGTCATCCTATTTTTCAGGGCACAGTGTAGGTCATTAAAAATTTCGTTCAAGCAGGGTACATCTTGCAGTACAAATGATTTTTCTGTGTCTTGTCAGCAGGATGATGTTTTAATTGCATTTTTGGCAAAGCCAAAAAGTTGTCTGTATATGAAGTACGATGTCAAATATAATAAACATACTATTTATACTAAAATCATTATCGATATTATCATCGTAATAAATCTTATAACATTTTTTCAGCAGAAATGACATATGCAATCAAAAAATACTTGACATCCATATGGCGAACAAAACATTAATAGAAGAAACATTAGGATATAGGACTCAAAATGTAATCTATATTAACAGATGGACCAACATAAGCAATAAGTTTTCTTTTTATTGCTTTTTCTTTAATTCCTCATATGAACAAATAAATAATATGTTATCAATTTGACTTGGTGTAAACATGCTTGTCTTGAATTGAATGTCAATCTAGCTGAGCTAAATTATATTTCCAACGAAATACCAGTCGTTGGTATGACATCTACTGTTATAGCGATTATTGATAATAATGGAAAATGACGATTAGTTTCACTACTAGACCAG